TCAGGGACATCAGTCAATGAGAAGAGACCTCCAGGGAAGCCAAGATCAGGAATCCTGGTACCACTGCAAGGTGAAGTCAGGGACATCAGTCAATGCGAGACCCCGAGGTGAGGTAAGACCAAAAGGCAGGCAATTTGAACTGAGACGAGGGTAGGTAAGACCACAAGGCAAAGGGGTGCTGAGCACAAAGAGAAAGCTGAGCACACACAAAATAGGAAGGCAAAGTGGCAATAAGCAAAGAGATCGGCCAGTTAAGCAGAGAGACAGAGGGGAGAGGAGAGAAATGAGGCTGCTAGCTGAACCAATGTGAGGAATCTGCAGGGGTGTCTGAGAACCCATTCATCTAAAGCAGTCGGAAATTTCGGAGCTAAACCGGCGGTGGTGGCAAATGCCTTTAATGCCAGCATTTGGGAGGCAGAGGCAGGCAGCTCTCTTGAGTTCGAAGCCATCCTGGAAGTCTGCAGCCAGCTTTAAAGGAACCTCACTCAATTTTCCTTTTCAAAGGATTCATAAAAACTACTAAAATCCTGCTGTAGTCTAACAAAATATTTTTTCTAGTGTAACAGGCATGTTACATTTATTTAACTATCTATTTATTTATTTAATGTGTATATACATATGTGTACAAGCGGACATGTACTACTGTAGAGGTCAGAGGGAAACTTGAGAATTGGTTCTCACCTTCTATCTTGTGAGTACAGGAGAGAGAACACACAACTTCTAGGTAATCTTGCCATTCCCCTAGTAATATTCTGTTTGCCCAGAGCATTGAGCTAGATTCCATGTGGTGTTGCATTAGGAATAATAAAGATTTCTGTTTGAGCACTAAATATATCTTCCTGTAGCAAATTACATCCATGCAAAATAATTCCTTCTAGAAAATATGAAGTTTCTGTTTCGAAATATACATTGTTAAGAACAGTCCATGGAGGAAGGTTGAAAATCCAACTGTTATTTGAGCCCCTCTTTTCCCCTTCCTTTCCCTCTCTTCCCCTTTTCTTCTCTCTCTTCTGTATCCTCTTTCCCCTCTCCCTCCCTATGCTCTTCTTTTCCCCTTTACCTCCCCCTCCCCGTTGTTGGGGTGTATGATTATTATGTATAATTTGTTTTATATATGAAATATCATATACATGTATATATAGTAGAAATTGAATTTTGTCAATTCAAAGTTGGGTCTTGTCCATGCTCAGCAAGTCGTCAACTACTGAACTATATACTCATTTTTACTTTTTATTTTGAGACACCTTACAGGGCACTTTAAATTTCTGAATGAGCTGCAGGATCTCTTGTGTGAGTGAAATGATGTGGAATGTAGCAAGATAAGATAAAATGTTCTCTCATTTATATTAAGCATTCTGCCTCTAAGTTCCAAGGTGTGATTATAATAGGAACCCTCAAAATTAGCATTTTATGAAAATTCTATGCTGGGAATGTGACTAGGCACCAGCCCACAGGACCCTTGGCACTAATGGCATAGTTCATCTCTCAGGAGACTATCAATTATAATAGTTTTGGTTTCCTGATGAATCTACACAATGCTTATATCCTTTCTCTCACCTTTCCTGTAAATTATATAATGCTTTTATGGGTAAGATGGAAAGAGACTGGGGATTTGTCTTCTGAGTTCTAGGAGAACTATAAACAAAAATATTTCCTTCTACTGACTTCTCTTTCTCTTATTTTTTGGTAGAGTTGTGAACAATGGACCTTCGTTTGCTGTAACGTGATCTCCTGTTTCCCACTGGATGTGAGAAAGAACCGAAACATAGCCAAGGTAACTGAGGACTCAGGATGTTATAGCCGCAACATCTTTAGAAAGGGGCCATGCTTAGTCTTGTATGAACCTCGCACTGACATTTGGCTGTCCACACACAAGGGTCTCTGGAGTGTACTTTACTCCTACTCAGCAGAGCAGGCCCAGCTGGATAGGAAAGCAACAGTAATAGTTGTCACAACACTCATAAGTGCTGCCCTGTCCACTTAGCAGGGTCACTCATCTTTTCTGTTCCAAAACACTTGTAGGTAAATTGCACCTCATTATTCAGAAGTTGTTTTTTTTTTAACTTAGTCTATCTATTCAGTGTAAATGGGGGTGTGGTTGGGGGTTTTTACTCTGCTCTTTTGAGGGTCCAAACACCCAGCTCCCAAATAAATCACACATAGAAGCTTATTCTTGGCCTTAACTTGGCTTGTTTCTTGCCAGCTTTTCTTAACATAAATTATCCCATCTACCTTTTGCCTATGGGCTTTTCCTTTTCTTTTTTCTTTTTTTTTCGAGACAGGGTTTCTCTGTGTAGCTTTGTGCCTTTCCTGGAACTCCCTTGGTAGCCCAGGCTGGCCTTGAACTCATAGAGATCCACCTGCCTCTGCCTCCCGACTGCTGGGATTAAAGGCGTGCGCCACCACTGCCAGGCATTTTTTTTTTTAAATGAAATCTGAATTTTTTTTTTTAAATTTTATTTTATTTATTATGTATACAGCATGTATGACTGCAGGCCGGAAGAGGGCGCCAGTTCTCATTACAGATGGTTGTGAGCCACCATGTGGTTGCTGGGAATTGAACTCAGGACCTCTGGATGAGCAGTTAGTGCTCTTAACCTCTGAGCCATCTCTCCAGCCCCATTTAGCCTTTTTTGACTGCATGAGTCTTTAAATTGCTGAACGGTGTGAACCTTGGCTTGTAGCTTTGACTGCTAGCTCCTCTTGCTTCTCTGGTTGTGAAAGCGAAGTGTTAAGCTTGCAGTCTGGTTGGGGGTGCATTTTGGGAACTGCATTCAACCTTCCTCGCCAAGCAGGTATTATTTTTTACTTAGTTTGCTGTTTTTACTTAGTGCTGCCCTGCCAGCTGAACAGCAGTGCCTCTTAAAGGAGCCGTCTCCTTTTTCTTTTTCTTTTTTTTTTCACTTTCTCAGGCCCTACATGGAATTGCAGCCCACATTGGCATGCCAATTTGTTATTGGTTGTTTTGCTCTTTTACTCTTTTGAGGGGCCCATCACCCAGCTCCCAAATAAATCACACACGGAAGCTTATTCTTAATTATAAATACCAGGCCTTAGCTTGGCTTGTTTCTTGCCAGCCTTTCTTAAATTATCCCATCTACTTTTTGCCTCTGGGCTTTTTCCTTTTCTTACTTCTGTGATTTTTTTTTCTTTTTGGTTCTTCGAGACAGGGTTTCTCTGTGTAGTTTTGGTGCCTGTCCTGGATCTTGCTCTGCAGATCAGGCTAGCCTCGGACTCACAGAGATCTGCCTGGCTCTACCTCCCAAGTGCTGGGATTAAAGGCGTGCACCACCACCTGGCCACTTCTGTGATCTTACTTTCACTTTTACTCTGTGGCTAGCTGTGTGGCTGTATGGTTGGTCCCTGAAGTCCTCCTTTCTTTGTTCTTGTTCCTTCTTTTCCTCCCACATATATTCTCCTTCTATATATTCTCTCTGCCTGCTTGCCAGCCCTGCCTATCCTTTCTCCTGCCTCACTATTGGCTGTTCAGCTCTTTATTAGACCATCAGGTGTTCTAGACAGGCAAAGTAACACAGCTTCACAGAGTTAAACAAATACAACATAAGAGAATGCAACACATCTTTATATCATTAAACAAATGTTCTACAGCATAAACAAATGTAACACATCTTAAAATAATATTCTATCTCTGGGCATGAGTTAAAAAAATAATATTCTACAACAGGGGGGTGGCCTCAGGAGGGAGTCTCTAGATCTAAGTGATTATCTCAGATTACACCAGCACTTGTAGAAAAGTCAGCTTTCAAGTTGTGAATTTAGGATCCGAATCCACAGCAATATACAGCAAAAACAAAACAACAAAAGCATTAGCTGCCACAGTGAAAGTCTATAGCAGCAGTGAAATGATGCTTACTAGGAGAAATGGCCGTGATGCCATTGATTGGGCCTTGAGATGAGAGGGAGAGCATTAGAAAGGAACGTGTGTGTGTGTGTGTGTGTGTGTGTGTGTGTGTGTGTGTGTGTGTGTCTGTGTAAAACGGCATAACAGGGTCCTAAAGGGAAAGAGGCTTCCCTTTGGAGAGGGATCTCATTATGAGGGATCACTTAAAAAGTATTCCTCTGGTGCCTTTGCAGTATTGCTAAGCAAAGAAATTTAGTGGCATGTTGTCCTAAAGAGAGACCAAACTACCTACCCTTCTTCCTATTCCAGTTGTTTTACACTAGCGGTCCTACTGCTCTTTAGTCATGATTATAAGCAATCAGGAGATAATTGTCATTCAAAAGACATTTTGTTATATTCATAGATATCAGGAAGAAAGACTGTGTCACATTATGTGAGATCATAGGATGGGCCTCTGTGGTTGATCAGAAGGAAAGGAAGAGGAAAAATGTGGGCAAGAACTTTTTGCTTCTCTCAGGGAAGCATTTGTTTATTTTTTGACTTTTTGATAATAGCATTCTTACTAGAATGAGGACTTGATTTGC